TGACATAGCACAGTTTTGTTGTTACAGGATTCTCACTCAAAATCTCTGTATGTCCTTCTGGAAATCACAATTGCACAAGCATAGAAATCAGCATCAGCACTGAAATCCTCCTGTTTGGACTTGCATTCTTGTCCCTGTTGCTTCTTTCAATCTCACTGTTTGTCTGCAGTCTCCATACTCTCTCCCTTTCCAAAACACTAACGCCATTTAGTTTTCTGGCTGACTTTCCACAGCTTAAATGTACTCTTGTACATTTGTCTTTGACAAATGCCTATGTTTGCAAAATGAGCAGTTTTAGGTCGGTTCTAGACAGCAGTGAAGTTTCTAATTTCCACACGTCAAAGCAGGGTTACATATTGAGGATGGTGCATTACAATCCTACCCTTGAAGCACTGCAGCTTTTCTGGGCTTCTTGCTTGACTGCTAAGTTTCCATGATCTTAGGATTCTGATTGTGTCAAGGAGGTCCCACTTTGAAGGCCTCACTGCCTCACTCTCTACAAAGGCTGAGCAGAATCCATAACAGATGCATTCCTTTCCTTCATCTGGAAAGCCAAATTTAACACGTGGCACGGCTGAGACAGGCTGCCAAGAGTGTTTCTGGCCTCTGAGTGTACATGTGGCTACTTCTTATCAAAGGTACTGATTTTTCTGTCAGTCAGTTGGTTACAGAAAACTGAAAGACACAAGCCATCTCTCAGGAGAAACAGCTGAGATCTAAGTCAGGGACTCCAATAGTGGTGAGTGGTTGCACTTGTCATTGCCCATGCTGAAGCTGGGTCACTGCAAGAGTACGTACAAAATCCATAGCCCAGTAAGAAAGGGAGACACAGCACAGGAAAGAACATTTACTGGGAAACTTCCACAGGGAAAGATAGGACGGAGGAGCTGTGTTACCTGCTATATTCTCAGATGGACTAACAAAGGCAGTTCTGGGGAGCAGATGCAATACTCATCTGTGTGCAGGACCTCCAAACACCTTCCCAAAAAAATCAACATACAGAAGCAAACCCTAATACCTAAGGAAAAAACTTCTCCTGTTCCTAATGTACACTCTAAAGCCCACTGCTCCTTTCCTCACATCCCATTTCAGAGTCTGAGCTCTCCTTCCACTTGTGGCTTCCCCAAACTTACAACAGCTAAATTCCTATCTTCCTATATCTGGAACAGCAGATGCAGAAATCATGTGAATTGTAAATATGCTCAGCTCAGCAATGGCCTGTGCCAGGCAGAACTTTAAAAGCTACTGCAATTTTTGATGACATTTTTGTGGTTCTTCTTTCCTCACAGACCAATCACACCTGTTCAAGGCACCATATTTGGTTCTTCTCACTGGGTATATTGGTATGAATGTGTTTAAGCTGAGTTAAATGAGACCTGAAAGGCAAGGAATTAAAACATTGTCCTCCTAAGGTCTGACATACATTTCCCTAGAAGTAGAAATTCTATTATGTATATGAATCCTTTTAGAAGAAGGTGTTAACTAAAGCCACCTCGTTTTAGTAGTCAGTAACTGTCACTTGATGCAGTGCACAGGTAGGCTCAGGATGCAAAAAGAAACTCCCAAGTTAAGTAGAAGGAAGATGGAAATAGTAATAAAATAGTGGCAGCTTTCATTTGGACCTCTTCATAAGTCAGGCTTGTTTTAATCTTTGTGGGATTTTTTTTGCTGTACCATGTCTCCTAAATTATAGGACAGCAAAGTAAGCCACCTTTCTAGTCCCTCAGCACTGTTCTTAGAACGGCTAAATGGTTAGCAAAGCATGTAACAGGATGGGTGAGTAGGTTTGTTTGGGACAGTACTGTCACAGGAAAAGCTTTGGTAAGGAATTGACTGAATCTATGCCTATCACCCTATTCCAACCCATTCCTAACTTTTGCCAGAGGAAAGGGAGCATAAGACCTGAATACTAAAACCAGACCTATGGCCAGGGGGAGCTCTAGGTTCACATGTGGACAGCTGGGATGGACAGCAGCTAAACTCTCAAAAGTCTGGCTTCTCCCAGCAGTTCTCAGTACTGGGTAGTTTCTGGTGTTACTGCACTAAGACCAAACTCTGCTGAACTTGAAGGATTGGCAGAGATAATGCCCAGGCCCAGTATGAGTCTTGAAAACAGTGGGAATGACTGTTGCCTTGAATCTACCTGAGAGCTCTCTCTGTAACACTGGATGTAAACGACTTGACTGCAAAGCAGAACTCTTCCTTGCTTAAGGAACCATTCCAGACTCCTCTAGAGCTCTTTTCAAGTTTGTGCAAAGTAGTATTGTAGAAAGGAGTGCCCAGTTCAAAAAAGCTGCACTAGAACCTTGTACATGCAATAAATAGTCTGTGAAATCCATTTCTGCTAGCCTGAGGCCCCTCTGGAGGTCATGGTACAACTGGGAGTAAGGATGCTGAGTGGTGGACATGTCAGCAGGGGAGACATGAAATGACTGTAGCATATGACCTGAGATGGTCTTGGTAAAACTTGACCAGCACACCCACAAGACTCTTCAGAGGAAAGGAAACCTTAAACTGCTCCCTAACTTGTTAGAATGTAATGCAGGCAGGTTAGCACTATCTTTCTCAATACAAGCTCTCTCTTTCTCAATCTCATACAGCCCCAAATTTATTCTTCTCCATTGGCACTAACCTGACTTTCAAGGAAGAAAAGACACATCCAGCTTGCAATTAGACTACTATAAATATCAAACTGTGCACCTGTTGGACACTAGTGTGTCACATTTTTCTGGATTTTAACTTGAGGTGCTTGCTTACCTGAGAGCAACTAATTCTAGTAACCAGTGGATTCGAACTTGTTCAATGCCGCTATGTGGAACAGAAGAAATGTAGGCAAGGTTCATCTCTTGGTCTTTGCTCAGGTCAAACAGGTCAGCACGACTGTGAGGTAAAGGAGGGCTTCAGGAAAAGAGGAAGAGAAAAGAAACAACACATTGCAACATTAACGAGCAGCTGCACTGGGTATTGATTTGAAGTCCACACAATGACATCAACTTCTGCTCTGCTGTGGAAGCTACACTTGTTAGAAGTAGAAATAGACCCGCAGAGCCATTCACATTCACATTCTTCAACCATGTTCAACTCAACTCTAAGCACAAGGAAGCACAGCAGTATGTGGCTTGAGGTTTCTATGCTTGATGCTGCCAGCAGCTTAACCTACTCATGGCTATACAGCAATGATCATGTTAACATGACTTTGGTGTCTGCTTATTCCACCACAATTAATATAACACCGAGGCAAATTTCTGCTGCCTCTATCTCCACAGAGAAATAGCTGCAAGATGGAGAGAGACCTCACCCCCATGCTGCATGATTCAGAAACTTTGAACACTGCCCAGTTCACTGGGTTTGGGCATCCTTAAGAGATCCTCTTTAAGCCTCCTGGTAATGTGCAAATTCTAAGTGTTAAAACATTTGTACTACAAGATAAAACACCCTTGTACCCAAGGTTTGGTATAATACTTCCACATGCCTTCACATTGCAAAGAGAGGTGATTTGTGCTTGAGCTATAGACTGTATATTACCTGTATAAGTGAAAAACTAATATAGTTTATGCATTGTCTACTGTGATCTGTCTCCTCTGATGGGTGGATCAGCTCTGTGCTGACTGTAACTATGCTGGGAAAAGCCATACTGTCATCCTCTCCTCCTCTATCCCCTGCCTCCAAGGACCCCACTGAGCAAGCCTACTACTGTATAACCATCTGCACCCAAAGAGGGGCAAGTCTGACCCCACCTGGACAAGAACCCGATGCAACTTTTGTCCTAGCTAAGACACTGCCTATCTATTACCTGATCTTCTCCATCCTTATCTGAAAGTGCAAGTCTTGACGCAGATTACATCCTTATAGTGCTTCATACAGGTCAGCCAGCAAATATGAGCCCCTCTGCACAACTTTACCAGCATACAAGACACTAAAAAAATCATCTGCCTGAGATTGCTTCGAGTCACTTAAGTGAGACAGAGAAGTTACCAATTCCACTTTTATTAAAAATGTTATTAGCCATTTGGGTGTTTTTAATTGTTCCAGTTTAACTGTTCCAATTATGTCCAGATAAGGACAATGTTAACTCGTTTTCTGAAAGAATGCCTTACTACTACTCTGAGATTCAAACTTGTATCAGTGCACTGTTTCAGTTCAAGTAGTGGCAAAGATGGAAGTCAAGGCATAAAGCATTCACATATTTTTGCTTAGTTCACACTGAATAAACACTCTGCAATTCACATTCTGCTAGACAAAAACCTAGCAGAAACCATTACAAGATACAAAAGAAAGCTGGCAGAACAGTGTTTGTTAGTGGTAGTATCAGTATCTGTACTTTCCAGAGTGCTAAGTGCCCATCCAAGAGAACATCAAGCCTTGCAGTCTCCCACACTTTATCAACCGTTCATATATAGCTGTGTGTTTGCCCAACTCTCTGAAACAGTGATGTGCAAAAGAAGCTTTAACAACTGGAACCCAATGCTGTCACAGTGTGAGCTTTCAAGGGAGCTGGGATCCTACAGCTTGAGAAATCCCAGTGCTGGCCAAGTGTTATAACTGAATAGATGCCGACCTATGCAGAGCCTCTGCCTCTGCTGCTCCTCCTCTGCCTTCTCCTCACATGCTTTCCATGTCTGCAGCTTTCCAAAGTTTCTTTCATACAATTAAAATCATAGGTGTTTCTTGGGTTGCAGTTCAAATGGGCAAAACATACTATGCTTTTAGGTAGCTTTTCATTAATGTTTCCTAACACTGCAAGCAAAATTTAAAACCAAAAATGAAACAAAAGAAAAAAATCCAGAAAACCCAAATATTTCTCTTCATCAGAATGTATTTTAGGTCCTGTTTTCCCACCAACATGGGAAATCAATGGAAAAGTATTCAAGTTTTGTCTCAGACTACGTTTATACATGATACCAAAAAAGTGCACAAACTCCTTTTCATTCAAAGCACACACTGCCGATTCCATCCTTGGTCCGACTTTTTCCTGTAACTGTTATTTAATCCACTGTATCCCTGAGCAAAGGAGGTCATTATCAGTTTAGAGTAAGATATGAACATGGCTGAGGAATATACCATCTCTTGCTTTTGAGCCTGTTAGAAGGCTTCATGTATTTCAGAAAACTTGAAGGCTTTGCAAATCCTGTTAGCTCAGCAAGACTGAGCTTTCTCTGAGAAGCAAAGTACTATCACGATATGAAGTGCTGGAGCTCCCAGCTATTCCCTTGACTTGGATCAACTGGGCTCACTGGCCACATCAGGAAGATGGTGCTTGTTGAAAGCATCTTGCAAGAAGAATAAATTCCTACAACTAACAAGCAGGGAAATTTTGACTGTGTCTATTCCGTACCAATGTAAACATTGAAAACGAAAGGGAATGAGCTCCGAGTGTCAATCCATGTGCTGTTCTGGGGCAGAGGAAGGATTTCACATGTTCGAGGGCCCTGGAGGCAAGGGAGAAAGTCAGAGGCGGGGTGTCTTGCGATCCACTTTGTTTACATCAGCTGGCCACAGCCCACAACCAGCTCCACGGAGATAACACGCAAAAAGCTATGCAGCGAAGTGCCAGGCCCTCTGACCCCACAGCAGCAGGCCCAGGGAAGCCAAGGATCTTCCAGAAATGCCACGTTCTCACACCCTGGGGATCCTTGTGCCAGAGGCACCCAGCTCTCGCTCCGGCTGCTTCTCGCCGGCAGTGCTTGGCCTATCGCCGCACGTCGGCCGCAGGGGCTCTGCACGCTTACCAGAAGCCAGTGCTCCTCCAAAAGTGCTGCAGGGGCCGCTCGGCTCGCCCGGCATCCAGATACACCACGTAGGCCGCGGAGCCCGCGCCCAGCTGCACGGCCAGCCAGAGCAGCAGCCTCATGGCGGCAGGGGCCAACGGGGCCTGTACTCGGCTGAGCGACCGCGGCGCCCCCTACCGACGCCCCAGGG